CTCGACAAAGCCCTGGCTGGCATGATCTAGTTAGGGACGGTCCTGCTTTGAGCAAGAGTTGGGCTAGATGACCTCCTGAAGTCCCTTCCAACCCTAATTTTCTGTGATTCTATTATTCTATGTGTGTTCATTAATTTTTACATGGAAGGATAGCCTCTTCTGCCCAATATAGACACCAAAGGAGCACCTTTTGTATAGCTACAGCACAGTATTCAAAGTCCTGTCAGTTTTGTTAGAGAACAGCCTTTCTGCTGACTCTGCCACCTCTGACAGCTGGGAACTAGTATTCCTCAAAAGGCACGTAAAAATCCAAAGCCCTTATCTTTTCACTGCATCTTCATGTCCTCTCTCAGCATCTGATGAAGTGAGCTCAGGCTCACAAAAGAGTATGCATCTCTGAATTAGTCTATAAGGTGCATCCCTACTCTGTCTTCTGCATAACTTCAGACTAACATGGCTAACTACCTCTCTTAAGTCCTATCACTCAGCTTTGCAAAGAAGCATACAGGTTAGGTTCACTGTGTCATTACCCCCACTATTTGAGGTGTTTTTAGGGTGTCATGTATGCTTTCTTGAGTTTGTTTGACTGATACAACATATATAGTCACTACAGATAAGTAGCACCAAGCAGTATTTACCTTTATCATCCTTATGTTTATATGTATTGTGCTATTTGATGTAAAATGCGGTTTTATACATTACTAGCCAATTGCCCATCAAGAATGATGGGCAGGAGGTAGGTGAGCAGGCTGGGATGGAGTGCCACCACCTAATGCTCCATGTTGCCACTGTTCTGCCTCTTGCAGGGAGTTGGGTCGGGGAGGCAAGGCTAGCACTGCTGGCCTCAGCTCCCTCACCCCCATCTGGTCTTCAGCACCACTTGAAGGGAGTAGGGAGGGAAGCCGCGGTTGGCAGTGCTGGCCTCAGCTCCCCCACCCTCTGTCCAGTCCTATGCGCTACTTTGGAATCACAGCAGTGCTCCCCCACACTTGGAGCACTCTGATTGGCTGTTTCTATCAGCCAGTCAGAGTGCGAATAAAGTGTTACGGACAGACAGACTTATAGGCTTTTATAATATTAGAATGATAGGTTTGAATTGCCCAACATGATTATGACTTTCAAGTGAGAAACAATGGGGTTTGTTCACCTCAAAGCCAAAATGGCTGAAGAAAAGTAATCACCGAGACTTAGCATCTGACAGGGATTCATTTACTTATCAAATAGGGCTCTGGGGACAGGTAGAGGCATTTGAGCCAGATTTTGGGAAAGCCATTTTTCACAATGGAGAAATTAAGTAAGAGACAATATCTTTAGGACATTGTATTATTAATCTTTGTGTCTAAAAGTATTCAAATATTCTCCTAGTCTGAATTAGACCAGAAAAGACTTGTAGTCTGGTAAACATAGATGGGGGGTGAGTGGTGGGGAGGAATTTATGTTCAGTGTGAGCTCCCCAAGAATCCAGGGGTGCTGTATGTAAATGGTCAGATAGAAAACCAAAAATTAACTTCACCTTGAGAGCAAGTTTTTGTGTTCAGTTTGTTCCTGGGCATAAGGAATAGCTTAAGGACCTCAGTCAGTGAACTGCTCTTGCAGGAGGCCCTGGAAGGAAAGTCAGAGGCAGAAGCTGCTTTCTAAGCCATTGAGCTAGGTAGGAGCTGCATTCTCAGGTTTAACACAGAGGATAAGATCACATTGTTTTGATATTGTCTTTTGTTTGTCTGTTCTTATAACTCTGTCTGTACCTCAACATACAGTTACTGATTTCTTATGTTTGCTCTTGTTTTTATAATATTTTATTATATTTTATAAATTATTGTCAGTGTAAGTATAATGTAAGAGTATTTGACCATACAGACAGCAGGCTGCTTCTCTGGAAAGGGGGATCTGTCATTTCTGAGTGCATTATTACTGGACAAGAGTGTGGTTCTTCTAGCTAGTAAAACTCCCCCCTGTTAAGTGCTGACATGCTGTGGGTGAGACAAATAAGGCTGAGGTACCATATGCCAAGGAGTTGGCTTCTGACATCTCAGTCTGTTCTCAGTAGCCAAGTAGCAGATAGCTTGGAGGAGTCTGTGAAAGAAGGGAACACCTGAAGGTGTGGAAACACCCTGGGCATATATGCCTCAAAGGTCCCTCTGGCTGCATCTGGGGTCAGGGTATGTCACACACTGCATTCAATATATCCTTCAATTAAGCTGAATAAAAAAAAAAAATATTTCACAAAATGTGAAGTAATACAGCTTGCCATGAGGAAATCTTCAGAGATTTATTTAAAAATCCTTAAACGGTTATTTAACAAAGGAGTAGTATAGGGATTGGCCCCCAAAGTTTTGGCCCCAAAGTAGCAGTAGTCAGCCCCAAGCTGTAGGAATGGCCAAGCTGAAAAGAAATGACCATGTACGTTTCAATAGGCAACTGCTGTGTCCTTTCAGCATTCACTAGCAACAAAACTACAGGGAAATATCAGTCTTTGAGCACAACTGAACTAGGTTGTTCAAACAATACCCAAGAAACTGGGACAGGACAGGGATAAAACAAAGGAAGAATGATGTTCCAAATTAACTTTTAAGATAGGGTACAATGGATGCTATTATTGCTGGTTTCGCAAATAGTAACTGGGGCTTAGTAACAATATAACCTTACTAGATAAAGAGAGAAGAGTGAAAAATATAAAATGAACTAACTAATTGCAGCATAAGTTAAAGAACTCCCATAAAACATAACAATGTAGGCGTCTAGAGAACGAAGAAAACGTTTTTGTCTCATTGGTATATACTCGATTTTAGGGCTTTGGCTTTGTGTATTGAGGGCTTGAGTTCACTATTTAAGCTCACTGAGATGTGGCATTGGAATATTGTTTAATCTTTGCCAGACATTTTGGAGTGAGATACTTTATGTTCAAAGTTATCATGGCATGAAGCTTTCTTGTGACTACATAAAATTTTTAATTTCATGTTATGAAAGTCTGTCAGCACCACTGTAATAGCTACCGATAGTCCCCAATAGAAAGTGGTAGGAGGCATTACTGCACATTGGTAACTGTTACCTTAATTTACTTTGTCTAAATAATTCATTGCAGTGCCAATGCTTGGCATTTTATATGGGCAGAAAGAGGTAGTTAGCTGTGTTAGTTTGAAGTTAGTCTGCCACCCTGCCTTGTCTTCTGCCTAGCATCTTCTAATCGGTATAGTTCCTCAACATGCCCTATGCTGTCACACTAAATGCAGGTAACTGTTGAGCTGGCAGGATGCTGCCCTAGCTGTACAAATAATTTTCTGCTCAAAATGTTGTTTATTTGATTTTATATCCTAAAGGTTTCAAAATAAGGACATTTTCTAAACCTTAAAAAAAAGCATAATATGGGATTGGTGAGAGGAGGAGGAATACAATTGAGCCTACAGGTATCTTGCATCCTCCAGAACTGGATCAGTGGAGGGCATAACATTATTACTAAGGGTCATGATTGACTGGAAACAGGTAATTGATTGAGATATGTATCACACATACACAACATGGTTAAGTACAGACAGTCAAAAAGCCTGAGGCTGAATTGAATCAATCTTCACAGGTTAGTCTAAGCTGCATAGATAGAACCAATAAGCAAATGAACAGACTTCACTTTTGATTCTGGAAATGCAGCCACATGCCTGCAGTGGCCTAGTCCAGAAGCCAGCGGGCATTAGAGCATGCCTCCCTACTAAGCTAAAGCAGACAGCTTGGGCCAAGGTTATTCCACACACCCTGTGAGGGGAGCTGTGAGAGAGGTACAAAGCATCCTGGGATGTTGGGGGACTGTGAGTTAACTTGAATCTAGAGAGGATCTGGGAAATAAGTTCAATAAATTGATTTAACCTAAATCAGTTAAGTCTGATACTACGTACATCCAGGTTTATCTTAAATAAGTTTTGGCCATTTTGAAAGCAGTTTGGGTGCCTATACATGAGAAGCGAGGCTGCTCTGACATGTTGTAATTATAGTGCAGTGGAGCAGGCTCAATTAATCAAGTCTGCTGAAGCATGATAATTACCGCATTTCAGCAGACTCCAGCATCTTGCGTATCACCATTCCCATGGTTAAAAACGGTGGTGGGGGCACTTTAACTAAAGCTCGTTGAGCAAGCTTTAGTTAAGTGACCCTGCCACCATTTTTAAGTATGTGGACACTGATACTCGAGACACTCCCAGGCACTTTAATTAGAGCGGCTCTCAGAGCTGCTTTAATTAAAGCGCCCCCCGC